CACACGATGTGCAAAACTCCGCATTTGAACAGTCAATAGCAAATACTTAAACTAATAACAAAACAGTAGCTGATTCAGAAGCGTCAGATTGTCATAGCAAAGTCAGAATTACCTCCTTCCTAGGTTCACGAAACGGTCGTCCATAAAATGCACTGCTGTTCTGTTGTAAGTAATCTTAAAGATTCCTAAATGCATCTACTTCCGGAAGGCCAAATAAAGTGCTTTTGCTTTCGCCTAGAAACACGCAGCGTCTCCCTGACATGCTGCTTCAACACTAACTGTGGTTACTGAAACCACGCCTTCTTTCTTTGCGTGAACATTTGGGCGGCATTATGCTAATATTTCCACATAGTGAGGTAGATATGTGGGGGCGTGTTAGAACGAGCCGTTTTAGGGGGGCGTGGCAGAGTCTTAACTTTGATGAATATCTCTTTGGTTTTGAGACTTTAGTCTTTGCAACTTCAGGGATCTTATCTATGCACAATCAGCTTGTAACACTCCAAAGAGAAAGGAAAACTTGAAATCGCATCATATGACCCCTTTAAAGAACTTGGCATGTTCATTAATCTTCTTTAGGAGTACTGCATACTTTATGCAGAACACAAAAACATTTTAGAGTTGACCAACAAGCATCTCAAGTGTAATATGGTTTCTTTTTCTTCCTTACTCTTAAATGCCTGAAAGGGAGGCACTTTTGTAAAGAAAACAAAAGACAGTATGTCTGAAGACTGGAGATATTATGTAGCTTTTTTGGTATTTTTGGAGCCTAGGTGTGCCAACTTTTTTTTCTATTTCCATTATCAATATTTTTTTGTTGAGCACCCTGTTTGAGAGTTTTTCCAGTGACGTATGTGCTTTTGTTTTGATTTTATTTTATTGTCATTTTGTCATTAACAAACAACAGTTGAGAGTCACCAGAAACTAGACAGAGAGAGGGGAAAGAAACCAGAACATAATAAAAAAATTAAATAAATGGATCATTACTGATACATAAATAGAAAATTTTTAATATTTAAAAATAAAAAGCTTAATATTTTATTGCACACCATAACCTAATATGGCAATAAAATCTTCAAAAAATTAACCAATAAAAAATAATTTAAAAATAACAAACATACAAAAAACTTTTCCAGGTTTTGAATCCCATATTTTAAATGTCTACTGCAAGCACAAGTATCCATTGCTCCAAAATTTCAAAATTTAAAACAATTAAATTAATTTTGCACAAAACATGATTGGATATTCAGTTACAGGTCAATTTTATAGAGATTATTAGACTGTTTTTAAGTGATTTTGGGGGCTTTGTATTTTATCAGGCAGATTTATAAGAGCAGCATGAAACCAGGGATCCAGCCATGTGTCACCCACATAATCACCACTGCTCATCAGTTGGAGTTCAACTTTTCCTGGTTGGTGGTCACATACATAAATGAGTGTGACAATTCCACTCACCACTTCCATGACCTGAGCGCTCCACTGAGAGAGCAGCTGCAGACCCTGCAGAGCCAGATCAAACAGCTTCCTGTATTCAAAGTCCGTCTTCTGGGCCTCCTGACGCCCTGAGCCAGTCACTACCTGCAAAAATTAGAAAAGAAGGCAATGACAGAGCAAGCAAACAAGATAACATAACATCCAACACAACTACTACCATTAGAGAGAAAATGAGCAAATTAATGAACCACTGAAAGCTCTTCACACAAGCTAATGACAAAACTCCAGGATCCCTGCCGCATCTATAGAAGCACAGGCTGCATTCGAAATGAACAAACACAGGAGGAAATGCCAAAACCCTGTATCTGTGCACTTGTTTCAGCAATCCAAGACAGCACAAGACACAAGCAGTGCGTGTCAAAACCCCTGACATCTGACAACCAGGGCTGTGGAACGAACAAACAAATTCCTCCCCTGTTTCTCCTTGTCACCGGGCTGCTGTCACTGATAGCGGACCCCAGTTGTCCTCTGGCTGCCAATACCTTCTCATTATAGTGCTGCTGCCATGTCTTAATTCAATCCCAGGCTGGCCTCCTCCCCTCACATTTCCATATTCATCTGTAAGAATACAGCCCCCGTGGTTATGAATGCAAACTCTGAGTTGCTGAGATTGAGCCTTGAATCCAATTCAGCCAAGGAAAAGGGAATCATGTATGAAGCGAGAGCTGTTCGCCCTCCTATGGCTAATGAATATTTATCAAATCTACTCACATGAGAAAAAACTAATTTAACAAGGGCAATGTAAGCCACTGTAGCTTCTGATTCTCATATGATTCCCACCATTAATGCACTTCTAAAAGATATTTTTCAGCATCCGATAGGCTGAGGCTTATTCAGTTTAATTAGCAATTTTTTTACCATAGTTACCATAAGAACTAGAGTACTAGTAGAATATACCGCATGAATACTTTTATGCAGCGAGGATGCATTAAATTGATCAAAAGTGATACTAAAGGCTTCACATTGCTACACACAAATCCTATTTTAAATTAACGAACTTTCTATTCATGAAAGAATCCTGAAAAAAAGTGTATCATGGTTTCCACAAAAATATTAACGTTTTATAATAGTTAGATATGTAGCTTGAGCCCAAAATCAGCATATTAGAATGATGTCTGAAGGATGATGTGGCTTTGATGACTGAAGTAATAATTAATTATAAAATGTATTCAAATAAAAAGCTATTTTACAGAAAACAGTTAGTTCAAATTGTAATATTATTTCACAACATGAATGTTTACTGTATTCTTGATCAAATAATTGACATTACCGCAACCAAAATTGTGATTTAAATCCAACCCTAATAAGCATCAGCTGCTTTAATGTGATGCTAAACAACACATTTGTTTTTGCCAGTTTCTGAATCAAAGAACTACTCAGAAAACAAACTTCGTCAGAGGTCTTATGTTTAGAAATAGCAAGTCATTTGGCATATTAGGTAATAGACATTTCATCCCCCAACGTCATTGGCAGCATGAGTCAGTGCATGGCAACTGGAGAGTCTGCACTGCATTTGTTTATAAAGACGGTGATGAAAAGACAGTTTTATTTATTTTATTTTTTTTTTTTTTAAACCTCTCACCTCACTGTTGCTGTAGCGAGCCAGCTCAGAAATGAAGCGCATGTGGTCTTCACGGATTTGAATCATCTGCTCGCAGATATTATACTGCGGGCTACTGCCTGCAGATGTGCACGACCACCTAGAGGATGGAGACCAGGCAATTAAAAAACATGGAAGGGTCGGTCCAGTAGATAGAACAACATTTAGCTATTTTCATTTTTGGTGAACTTTCAGAAAATTTGGAATCAAGTACTGCTCAATTTGTTTCTTGCAAATGTTTAAAAAAGGACATATAGAATTTTATCAAATTTCAATGATGCTTTTGCAATCTTAATTCTTCATTTATTACAGTGTCTCAGAAAAGAGCAACCGGTACATTATTAAACATATCTTTAAGAAAGATAAAGTTATATGAGTTTGGAAGGGCAGATTTACATTTTGGGTTAAGCTAATACACATCTACATAATACACAGCGTTCACATTTAAATATGGCATCCTAGGACACCCACCTGGATTTGTTTTCCTCATAGTGAGCGCTGGTTTTGATATAGCGGGCCAGCTCAATCTGCATGTCACCAAAAAGAGGTACTACCTGCAATTGCTGTAGGGGCGGGGCAGAAGGTCAAATCAAATTAAAATCCTCCAATAAAAGTGGTCAGATGAGACAGATTGTGGTTTACACCAGATATTAGCATGCATGTTAAATGCATTTCCATTTGTGAATGTCAGAAATTTCATGTCCGATTTTATTACCAAAAGCACAGACACACACACCTTGAAAAACTTGTCAATTTTCGTGAGGTTGATTCTCTTCTTGGCATCCAGTTTGTAGATGTTGCTGTTGGTTCCATCCATGAGATAGAGACCAAAGCCCATCACCTACAAGACAGTCACACCAAACTGAGAAAAACTGGTGTAAAAATCCTAAATAAAAATCCTTGATTTTTACATTAAACAGTGTACTACATGGTAACAGTGACTGCTTGGTCAAGATTATGATACATAAAAATCAAGATTCACATTTAATATTGTAAGAAATTTAAGAAATACTAGCAAAAACATAGTACTATCCTTAACTCGAAATGCAGTGGCACTTTTTTCCATTTTTCTGTAACTGTAAATATTATACCATATAATATTTTGGTGTAAGTAATTAAAAAAAAATAATAATAATTAATTCAGCAAGGACACATTCAATTGATTAAAAGGGACAGTAAAGACATTTTAATGATACAAAATACCTCTGCTTCAAATAAATGCTGTTCTTTTAAACTTTCTATGCACCAAGAAATCCTGAACAAAATGTAGCATGGTTCAAGCTAAAATATTAAGTGGTGCTACTGTTTTCCATATTGAAAAAGAGTATTAAATCATCATATTAGAATTATTTTTCTGAAGGATCATCTGAAGACTGGAGTAATGGAGTAATTTGCCTTCACAGGACTAAATTACATTTTAAAACACATTGAAATAGAAAATATATTGTATAACTGTAATAATATTTATCAATATTGCCGTTTTTACTGTGTTCGTGAACAAATAAATGCAGCCTTGGTGAGCATAAAATATTTCTTTCAAAAGCATTCAAAATATATGCTTACTTTGAGTAGCATGTGTTTCTCAATGGGGGTGAGGTACATCTTGTTTTCATAGTAGTCCACACACAAGTTAACGATGTCTGCCAACAGCTCATCATATCCGCTAATCACTTCAAGCTGCTGCTGTAGGGACTGAAGCAGAGACGCCCGTCAATATCAGCAACTCATACACAGAACATGTCTGAAGCACTGCTGCATGTATTTGTGTTTATTATGCTGCTATATCCAGAGACTTGAAGTCAGTTTAGTGAATGTCAGTGTTCATGAGCTGGTCTAAATAAAACACAAATGTGTCTTCACTACAGTTGCAAAACAAATGAACACACCTTGTTTGTTTAGATACTTTATAGTCAATGCATTTTCTTAGTATTACGTGTTAGTTTACAGAAGATGGTGTGGTACCTGAGTGATCTTGTTGTGGTTGGCCAGGAACATGGATAAGTTCTGAGATTCCTGAATGGAGGATGGCTCAGACATTTTCCTCAGGAACTGGGCAGCTCTGATGGACAGAGAGAAAATAGTTTGAAATGTCTGTAAAATGGTATAATAGATATAATATATCTATCTGTGATATCTATATCAGTAAAATGCCAATGAAGCACCAAAAAAAAGTGTGTATACTACAGCGATAACACTGACCAGAAGAATTCAGATGTGGAATGACTGCCATCTAGAGGAGGAAAGTATTAATGATGAGGCTAGATGCAAAACTGAGGCTCACAGAGAGCAGTCTGTGGTTACCTCTTGTAGGCGGAGTGATCATTTTTGACGCTGCACTTCATGTTCTTAAGTTCGTCCAGCACCGCAAACATGTTGATGAACTTCCCCAGCGTGAGCAGATAGGCTTCAGACACAAAGTCCTTCCTCCGCTCGGCGTGACACAGTCGACGCATTTCCCCACAGAAGCGATCTATTGCTGTCCTCTGAGAGTGAAGTAAAATGAGAGAAGCATTAGTGTATCTTACAACATCTTATATCGAAATCTAGAAAATAGCATTCATCTTTACCTGAAAGTACATGAAGTTCATTAATTTAGTGACTTCAGGCTCGAGCACCTCCACTGTCTTCTCGTAGATTTCCACTCTGTTAGGCTGTTCATTACACTTCACCTGAGAGAGGGACAGATGGAGAGGGTCAAAACAACATACTTCCAATCTGTGTTGATGGTGTTGTGATTTTTTTTGAGCGGCTTTAGATGTGACTAATTTACCTGAGGAATAGCTCTTGAACAGCTCCTCCAGGTATACAGCATCACAGCATACTCCTGTCCTTCCTCCAACATCTCATTCTGTAACACACAGCAAAAGTTCCCCCTTGAAATTATAATACACTGGAGCAACTGAAAGCAGTGGGGACAAAAGATTAAAGGGATAGTTCACTCAAAAATTACTCATTACTCACCCTCATGTTGTTCCAAACCCGTATTACTTACGTTCATCTTCAGACCACACATTAAGATATTTATGATGATATTTTGAAGAATTGTTTAATAAAGTTGCAATTTTTGTTTCCTTTGTCAACAAAAAGTATTCTCATCGCTTCATAAAATTACAGTTGAACCACTGACTATTTTAACAATGTCCTTACTTTCTGGGCCTGGGAACATTTTAGTTACATTGCTGTCTATGCAGGGTCAGAAAGCCCTTGTATTTCATCAAAAATATTTGTTTTCTGAATATGAATGAAGGTCTTATGGGTTTGGAACGACATGAGGGTGAGCAAATAATGACAGAATTTTCATTTTTGGGTGAACTATCCCTTTAAGGCCAAACTGAAAATGTGGATTTTTTTTCTATATAAATGATTATATCAATTGACTGATTGATTAGATTTTAAAATATTTTAAATTTATTCTCCAAACAGTCTTAGAATAATGAACAAAAACTAACTAGAAAGTAAAATGCAGAAATATTTAGGATTTAATCTACACTATTTCAAGGTTAAAACTTTGTTAAACTATACTAAATAAATGATAAATAACCGATAATTCATAAAAACATTTTAATAGTCAATTTTTCAGGTAGCTTAAATTGTAACGCTAATAATTTATTTTATAATTCAACATTTTCTATTAGATAATAAGTACATAATAAAAAACGAAATAATATTTACAATAATGCAAAATAAATTGATTTCTGGACTGGTGATCTCAGGATTTTAAATCCCAATTTATACATCAAATGCAGCTTCTACAATGAACCTTTATCTCATGATGAATGTAATGCCAAAGAACAGATTAAACCACTTAATCTTAAGATCTTAACAACTCTCTAAAGAAACTTTGGAGAAAATCTTCCCTAGAGTAACAAAACGCTCTTCCTTAGACACTCTGAGACTTTGTGGGTATGTGTGTGGCACCACACTACTTCCACACACACTCTTCAATTCCTCAATAGGTGCTTTTCCAATGCATGGTACGGCATGGCACGGCTTGGTATGGTTCACTTTTGGGGGGTTTTCCAACTAAAAAGTGGCTGTTTCGTTGTCTGTTGAGGAAGCACAGACGTTCCTCTCGTTGATAGCAGAGGAGTGGATCCAGCGAGAGCTTGATGGGGCGACGCGGAATTAAAAAGTTTTTCAGGAGTTGCAGTAGTAGAGGCGGCGCAACTATAACGACATGTGAATAATCCCGCCCACTCTAAAGCGATACTAAACTGCAGTGGAAATGCAAACCGAGCCGAGCCGTGCCATGCAGTGGAAAAGCGCCAAATGATGCCAAACATTCCCTGACAGCTATTACCTCTCACTAATAGAGCACACAGCAGTTCACATTCAATAGGGCTGGCTTGATGGACTGATTCGGACAGTCAAGGTCAACTCAACGGAGCAGTGATGGAGTCGAGGTTTAGTGATTTAAAGAAGGATAGCTAGTGAAGCTGGAGTTGAACAACTGCCTGTTTGTGTGGAAATGTTGAGAAGATCTTACCATGCCAGAGTGGACAGTGGCCTGCTCGATGTAACGGGCAATGCCTGTCACAAAAGCATTGCGGTCCTCAAAGTTGGTGTTGAAGTTGGGCTAAGGATGGTAAAAAGAAAAACCCTGGTTATGCTCTGTCTTCAGGTATTTTGGGTTTATATAAATAAACTGAAGATCTAGGTCAGTTGTTACCTGGTAAATGAGCGAGGAGGGCAGAGGCTCGATGCAGGGCTGCTGATCTGGAAGTGGCAGCTCCTCCAGCAGGTCCACATTGGACAGAGCATCTTCCAGAGTCACCGTGGACGCCATCACTCTAGAACAAAAAGTGATGAATGAATCAGAACAGTACCATTCACAATTTTTTCATGGCGCAATACTGGATCATACTGTCAAAGATGTTTAATATTTGATATCACAGATGGCAAACATCAACATAAATAAAGTAAATGTTTGGAAACTATAGCAACAGAGCAAAGGCAAGCAAGAGGTTTATAGCTGACAGGAAAAAATAAAACCTCAAAACAACCAAAAAACTCTCCCTTATCGTTGCAACTGGGCAACTTTTTCACACCTCACAGCGTCGGCTGTCAGAATGAAAGTGCTCTCCTACTTCCTCTCTTCCCCTTATGGGGTAAAACCTCATACTGTGTGCTAATCTGGCACCATGCAAAAAATAAAACTTCACTGTATAGAGGCGTTCATGCTGACAGTGATTAAATTGCTAGAAATTCCAAACTAATATTACATTGAAAATAAATCACTGAGATACAATGATTTAGATTATGGTTTTTTTCTCACGGGTCCAGAGCCTGTTCACTGAACAAACATCATCTGCTTGGCTGTGATTGTGTGTCATGTTTTGCAGCAGTTTCACATTTAGCATGGAAAGACAAATTGCTTGTTGCTGAAACTAATACTGGCCACAAGCACACAGAAGTGGCTGACAGACAATTAAAGGATATCAAAAGAGGAAATGCGATGCAAGCCAGAGGAAATGGAGATGGGCTGCTGTGGTCTTGTAGAGATCCCTACAGAATAACACTGCAGATATCCTGACACACATCTAGACATATTTAGAAAGGAAAAGCGTACCTGATCATGGTGGTGCACTTCTAGAGTTAAAAAGAGAACTTAACAGAGAAAAAAAGCAGAAGGAGACATTATCAGGAAGCAAGCGAATAGAAAAGAGTAGGGCCTGCAGTCTATCATGAAGAACAGAGTCTCTAGAGAAACACAGTGATGTTATCAGACACACACTGCTGCGGTTGACACTGACAGCTGCTTTTGACTGAGCAGCTGTACTTTAAAATGCAAATCGTACACACTCAATTGAAGCTGAAGAACATAATTTGTTTTAATGTTAAAATCTCTGTGCAATATGCAGAGAAAACTATAAGTAACCGCCACCTGTAGACTGACTTCCTGAAGAATGTAAACGGGGAGGGACTACTTGTTTGGCAGATGGGGGTGGGGCAGAAAGGACAGCATTTTGGAAACCTGTTTGGATAAGATTAGTTTTGCTATTCAGTGTTTAAGTCACTAGTGGTGAAATTTGAGATTGAACACTAATTTTGAGTATTGAGATTAAACTGAATGAATGTCTATTACGAAAACAAAATATACACATACATACACAGGGTTTCTGCAGGTTTTATGAAGGTAATTTTAAGAACACAAGTTATCAGCCTAACTTCAAAGTTTTAAAATACAATCTAATCTCCATTACTTTTCATTCATTTTACGAAAGAAAGAAGGAAGGAAAGAAGGAAGGAAAGAAAAAGAAAGAAAGAAAAAGAAAGAAAGAAAGAAAGCTAATGTCCTCCTGAATAGCTCTGCTCCAAACCAAGACTTTCTGCTCTGATTTCACCTTAAAGCCTTAATTTGTGGACAGGTAAATTAAGACTCTTTAAGACCTTTTTAAGACCTGCAGAAGACCTGTTTTAATATGTACAACAAGGAATGACGATTCTTACACTCATCCAACGTCTCCGTTGCTAATTCCAAAACGTCATTTTAGACCTAGTAACAGAGGCTTGAGCCATTGTTAGCAGACTAATACAGTTATTAATGAAGTTACGAGAGAGAGAGAGAGAGAGAGAGAGAGAGAGAGAGCGAGAGATAGAGATAGAGCGAGAGATAGAGATAGAGCGAGAGATAGAGATAGAGATAGAGATAGAGATAAAGATAATGTAGAGAAATAGAGAGAGAGAGAGAGAGAGAGAGAGAGAGAGAGAGAGAGAGAGAGAGAGCGAGAGCGAGAG